AAAAGCCAATATTTAAAAACCAGTATGAGCCGCTTCATGTAAAACAGGCACTTTTATTGTTGTTTTTAAGCCAGCTTTTGCCAGGGCTCCCTGGGGCTGGGGTTCCTTGCGGCTGCGGGCCCTGCCACACCCCCCCCCGGGGGCGGGGCCGGCCGGGGGGCTGCCGGCAAGCTATACGGAATGTAACCTTCCAGTTGGATTCAGCAGAAACGGTCAGAGGAATGAGGGGTGGAGAGTTTGATGCTGAAAGGTTGCCAGGAGTCATGCCCCTTCCAGTCATTCCTCAGCTGGTCCCCTCGGGTTGCAGGCCTGAGGCCACTGTGGAGGAGGGCTGGAACTGGCACCGCCGAAAGCGCTGCCTGCCCACTGGCACTGATATTTCTCATAGCATCCCGTTCCTCCCCAATATTCAAGGAACCATTCCTTTTCTATAAATAAAGATTTTTAAAAAATATGCTATCGGCCCATCAAGTTCCCTGGAACCTGGTATTACAAAAACATTTGCCATTTTGCCAACATAAAGACATAGATACATTTTTCATAATGGCTTCTTGTCTAAAGCTGATTCCTATTTGTCTACTTACTGTTTATTAGTTCAGTTGTAATAAACCATTTTTTAAATGGCAGAACTAAAGAAAAAAAAATCATCCATTTTTAAGCATTCTTACTACTGTATGTGGTTGTGAAGTTTCCATAGCTGACAAGTTCTGCATTAAGGCCTTACCCTGTTTGCAGCAGGTCTTTTTCTGGTTCTGCATTAAGGTCTTGCCCTTTTTCAAGGTACAATTTTTCAGCCACCACTGCATGAACCCCTGTGCTGAGCAGTTAAATCACATGTGTGTGGTGAGCAAGCCAGTTGCAAGAGTAGCAAAGAGTTGATTTTTGTTAGCAGGAAGAGAAAGGATGAGTGTACTAGATCCCACTCCTACATTTGCCACTCTCTTCCTACTGGGATGAATGCAGGACAAATCATCTAAAACCCAGAATCTCACTGATGATCACCTAACTGCATATTCTTTATTTTCTTGATACCCACATGGGAGTGTATTTGCAGAAGCTCTCAGCACTTTCTCTTGCTATTCACTTTGATGGAAGCTATGCTTTGAATATATAAAAGCTTATATATACTTCCTAAGATTAAAAAAAAAAAAGTGTAAATACACTGTGAATAAATCAGATTCCGTGTATCTCAGTCTGAGTTGACAAAATTGGTGGGCACTCAGTAGTGCGAACCAAGTCCCTATAATCTTTCCTTTCCTGTGGGTAAAAGAAGAAGAATACTACTACTTTTACTCCCCTGAATACTGGAAAAATAAATACTGTGATACTTCCAACATGGTCAAATATTGGAATAGATCAGAATATTAGTAGGAAGTTTATTAGTAGACAAGTAAGTCTATATATGTTCAGGACAAGCTTTAGATGGTGTGTAGTAAAAAAGACCCGAAGCTCCACCCTTAACGAAGGATAAAAGGAAGTACTGGATAACTAACTATTCAGTTCTTTCAACAAAGTGCTATTCTCATGGAAAAAAAATGCATCATAAAGTTGCTGGTGCGGAAAAAAGCATCATAAAGTCTGGTTTTTCACTCTAGGGTTTAGGGTCATCATGGCCTTCGTTGTGGGGTTTTGTGATCCCCTTGCAGTGCTTTGATAAAGATTGAAATACAGTGCACACACAGGATGAGATTAATTACTTTCCTCTGACATTCCCTAGCTTAGAAGTCACTCACTTTACAACCTTAATGTCTTCTAATTTCTTGATATGTAATTTCATACTAGAAATATTAGAAATAGCCCCCGACTTACTTTACATTTGAGGTAATCACTAACCTAGGAAAATAAGGGTATGTTCCTGTTATTTCAGTCTTAGTGATAGAAGATCAGTCTGTCAGCCAATCTATCCAGTAGTTACTTTTGGCTGTTTTGAATTCATGCCACACTTCACTAGAGTGACAAGAGCACTCAATTGCAAAGAACCTCTTCTACCACCCCTGTGAGAAAATGAGAGTGGCATTCAGCAGTTGTGCATGAAAACTACCCTATAGCAGTAGTAACTGGTATATCTGATACGGCATAACCAAAAATTTCAAACTCCATGACCTTAGGAATCACAAAGTCAACGAATGTTAGCTAATGCCTTTGCCTAGAGGATGCACTTATGCAGACTGCAAAGCAAGGTAGTGCATCAAACTGTGAACAAACAAAAGAAAGGAAACGAGGAAAAACCATAATGTTAAAACCTTGATGTTAAGGTCCCTATAGGAAACAGCAGCTGTCATTTGTCTTGTGTGACCAGAGAATGGCCTATCTTTTCTTAGTGCTCCTCTCTACTTCTTTTCGTGTCTGCTGCTTGCCATCCCTTGCTTAATTATTGAGACTGTAAATTAATAGGGACTACCCATTTGTCTTGTGTTTATGCAGCACCTAGCGTAACGAAGTCCTTGTCTTAGGTTCTACTCCAATAAAGATACTTAATAAATCATTAAAACTATTTCTGCAGTCATGAATAAGCTGAGTACTGGGAGGAGTGGTTTGCAGCCCTCATTTGAGTGGGGGTGGCTGGGTTGTAAAGGTGTGATTGTGCTATGTGCCATGAAGAAGCATGGGTCTTGGGACAGTACCAACGGAGAGCTGAAAATGTCCTGGTCCCGCAGTCAGTCCACAGCCAGACTTCCGAGGCTTTGCTCTTAGATAGGTTCTCACTCTTGCTCTGCCACTGGGAAAG